AACAAAAATTGTTGTGTGTGTGCTCCTCTGCTGCTCGTAGATGATAAGTGAATGATGTAGACTGTAATGTGTGTTGTTGTGTGTGGGTGTTGCATTGTATCGTTTAGATGGTGTTGTCTATGAGTTTTGTTGTGTTTTGCTTGTTCCGTCGTGTTGTGAGTGTGTTTTTTCGCTGATGATGTGGGGGTTGGTGGTGTGTGGGGTAGGGTCTAATTTACATATATATAACCTATATTATATTTAATAATATAAACATTAAATTCTTTATATCATATATAATTATATATATATATATATAATACACACATCACACAGCATCATCACACACGACACTAACATTCATCACACTTATCTCTCTCTCCTCTGCTCGTCTCTTCTCTCTCTCTCTCTTTCTCTTCTTTCTCTCTTCTTCTCTCTCTCTTCTCTCTCAAAGCACGCACACACACACACCACAAAACAACGCACCACACATTACCTACAAAATACACACATAAAAATCAGAAGGTGTTGAAAAACCTCTCTCTCTCTACACTCACACCACACACACAACCACACAAACACTTCACACACCACACACACAACACACAACACACACACGGCTCAACTCACAGCACATAACTGCATTCTATACTTCTTCTCTTCTCGTCTCTCTCTCTCTTCCTGTCGTCTCTCTCTCTTCTCTCTCTCTCTCGTTACTCTTCTCGTCTCTCTCTCATCAAGCACGTCACCTACACAACACACACAAACACGAGACACACATTACACAAATACACACTATCTCACACCTCTCCTTCTCACACACACACTACACACACACACAGCACACACTCACACAACACGCACAGCACTCACACACACACCACACACACCACTCAACCACAACACACACACACTCACACATAACATATCTATATCTGTATATGGCTATTATGTACGAAGAGTTTCAGTGAGGGTTTCGGAAATTAAAGAAACACGGTTCTCCCCCAGTCAATGTCGTCGTCCAGGATGATCTCCGCTTCCATCGCCCTCATAGGTCCCTCACCTCCGCCTCCCATCGCCCATCATAGGTCCCTCACCTCCCCTCGCATCCGCCCTATGAACTCCTTCGTCCTTATCTCCATTCTTGACCTTTCTGTTGCAGGAAGGAAATGACAGGTTCAATTCTGTTCAAGGGGTTTGGTGCTTTTGGGTTGAAGATGCTTCGTAGACCAAACGGCGTTATGCAATGGGAATTAGCAGAAAATAAAGGCTTTGCGATGATGCACTTACCTTCCAGTCGTAGCGTTCACCGCCGAAGCGTAGTTTCAGATCAGACGCTAAAGGCCAATATGTCGAAAAGAAAAATTCACATGATATACCTGAATCATACAATTCACTAACCTTATAGCCCGTTTATTAAAACGAATTTCATTAAATGTATTGTTATATTCCCTTCATCATAACATCAAAATCTCTCTATGTACACATGCAGCACATGTTGAAGAATAATTAAAAATCCACGGTGACTAGGACCATACGTAACCAGTAGCACTTACCGACCTCGTTTACCCATGCCTCCGCATCCCGTTCGAGATCCCTTGTAGGGTGAGCGTCATCACTGTTCTTTCTCCTTTGTTCTGATGGTGGGATGGAAGGTTATGTAACAAGAAAGAATGTTTCGTTAATAGGTCAAACAATTTTTCGTAGAAAAGGAGTCATCAAATATGATACAACTTTAGTCAGTTTTAATTATGTTGTAGAATCGCCGATTCTGTAGGACGACGTAGCAGATTGTTCATTGGAAGCGTTTCAAGCCGGTTTGCCAATCTCTACAAGTGGCTAAGAAGAAATTATTCATATCGGAACACTGGATATAGATAAAAAAATGAAATAATTTAAACATTTTCTTTCGTATCGAGATGCTTCTTGACACGCCCATCTTGCGAATAATCCTCTATAGGTGCACCTGTTGCATCAAGTCAATGAATCTTACCAGCGTCTTTAAACGTTTTGCGATCATATCTCACACCACATATATTCATTACACACCACGAGCATTAATTGTAATATATATATTATATATATATATATAGTATATATATAATAATATAGTGTATATAACTATATATATAATATATATATTATATATATATTATGTATAGATAGATAGATAAGATAGAGCAGAGAGAGAGAGAGAGATGAGACAGAGAGAGAGAGATTAGAGAGAAGAGAACAGAGAGATAGATTGAGCACAAAAGCATCATGGAGAGGGCACTCATAAGTCGTTACTAATTACACTCGTATTACACACGGTCTAGCGGCTGAGTTAGGAGGCGCGTGAGCACCGAGAGTTCACAAAAGGCCAACGCCACACCTGTAGCCCAGGTGATATATATATACTATATATATTATATATATAGTTATTATATTATATATAAATATATAATATATATAAGTTATATATATATTATATTATATATATATATACTATACATACATACATATATATATGGATATATATACATATAATTTAGTTATTTATTCTAATATGTATATTGTATATATAAATAGTATATATTATATATATGAATAATAGTACTATATATATACTATATCTATATATAATTATATATATATATAAGTATTTAGTATATGTATAGTTATATATATAATATATAGTATATTATACATACTAGTATATATAGATTATCAGTTATTATAACTTATATAATATATTATATATAATATATATATATATAGTACTATATTATATAATATATATATAATTATATATATATATATAGATATATATATGTAATATATATATAAATAAGTAGTAATTATATAATATATATATATTATATATAGTATAGATATATATATATATGTGAGTAAGACTATATAGTATATATATATAATATAATATATGTGTGTGTGTTGTNCCTCCCTCCCCCATTCTCTCCACCCTCCCCTCTCTCCCCTTCCCCCCTCCCTCCCCCTCACCCTCTCCCTCCTCCCCTCACCGCCCTCGTCCCCTCCCCCACCACGCCCTCTCTCCCTCGCCTCCCTCCCTCGACCCTCTCCCCTCTCCTCCCCTCTCCACCCTCTCCCCTCCCTCCCCCACCTACCGCCCCTTCCTCCTCACTTCACCCTCTTCTCCTTCCCCCCTCCTCATCCTCTCTCCCCTTCTTCCCCTCCCCTTCACCCTTCTCTCCCTCTCTCCCCTCCCTTACCCCCTCCCTCCTCGTAGACCCCAGCTTCCCTCACCCGACATCTCTCCCTCTCCCCTTCCCTCCCCACCGTCCTTCCCGCCCTCCCCTCCAACCCACCGCCCCTCAACCCTCGTGCTCCTCTCCCCCCCTCCCCCACAACTGCGCCCCTTCCTCCTCCTTAACAAAATAGCCCACAGCCCCTCCCCCCTGCTGCTCACCCTCTTTCACTCCCCTCTCCTTCTCCCTCCTTCTCTCCTTCAATAATTAGCGTGCTCCACGGCTGCCTGATTGGCCAAAGGTGGAGAGGAATCACTTAAGAGGCTCAGCGTCTGGTCCGGCTTAATCCACTTAATTCTTTTGCCTCTTTCATTCGCTCGCTTTTTTCGTGATCAGTGTGTGCAGCTGCAACACCCGGAGCAGCGTGTTTTTTATTTTTTGTTTTATTTTTTTCTAGTTTTTTTTATTTATTTTTTATTTTTTTTTCGTTGTTGTCTGTTTTTTTTGTTTATTTATTTATCTATGTTTTTTTTTTTTTTTTTACTTATTTTCGCATTTATTATATTTTTATTATTTTTATATTTATTCATTTATTATTTTTTGTTGTTGTCTGTATTTTTTTTTATTTATTCATCTGTGTTTTTACTTATTTTCGCATTTTCTTCTCTTATGTATCTGTCTCTATCTTTGTATCTTATTTTGAAATACAGAATTATATATATATATTAGTATTGGACATTTTATTTATCTTTTACTCTTTATGTTGTTTGTTGTTTTTTGAGGAAATACTAGATAATTCCTAATCTTTACACGTCCTATTTCTATTATTCCTATTAACTCTCCTATTTATCTATTTCCCGTCCATTCCTATCATCATTCCCATTTATTCCCATTCGTGTGGCCATATTACCAACCCTATTCCCGTGCCAATTCCTATTTATCATTTCCCATTCCTATCCCATTTCGTGCCCTATTACCAACCCTATTCCCGTCCATTCCTATTATCATTCCCATTCCTATACCATTCCCATTACAACCCTATTCCCTCCTTCCTATATATCATTCCCACCTATTCCCATTCGTGCCTATTACCAACCTATTCGCCGCCATTCCTATTATCATTCCCATTCCTATTCCCATTTATTCGTCGCCTCTTACCAACCCTAAATTCTCCGTCCGATTTCCCTATTATCATTTCCCATTCTATTCCAATTCATGCACTCATTACCAAACCCATTTTTCCCGTTCTATTCCCTATTATCATTTCCCATTACCTATTCCCATTTCGTGCCTTGATTACCAGACCTATTTCCCGTTGCAACTATTTATCATTTCCCATTCCTTAGATTCCCATTCATGCCTATTACCAACCCATTCCCGTCCATTCCTATTATTTTCATTCCCATTCCTAATTCCGCACTTCGTTGCCTCTGTACCAAACCCTATTCGCCGTGACAAAACTATTATTGATTCCCATTCCCTATTCCCCCATTTCATGCCTATATCACAAACCCTATTCTCCCGTCCATGTCTCCTATTATCATTCCCATTTCTCATAGTTCCATTTCGTGACTCAATTGAACCAAACACTATTCCCGTATGCAAACTCATTATCATTCCTATTAATCCATTATCCTTCATATTGCATATAATCTTCACATTCAAACTTCAACATTAAAAAATAATGATGAAGCCAAAGAATTAATGATTAATTTATCAACTGAACTAATAAATGTGAAATGAAAAATGTTAATATATCTGAGGATGTGTAAAGAAAACTATCTCGATCTATCATCTATTTATGTCAAAAAAATCTAGCCTGTCTATCTATTCTATGAGTCCAAAAAATCCTATCTGTCTATCTAATCTATTTATGTCAAAAAATCGTATCTGTCTATCTATCTATTTATGTCAAAAATCCTATCTGTCCTATCTATCTATTTATGTCAAAAATCTATCTGTCTATCTACTCTATTATATAAAAAAGTCTATCTGTCTAATCTAATTTATGTCAAAAAAATCTACTCTGTCTATCTATCTATTTTTATGTCAAAAATCTATCTGGCTCCTATCTATCTATTAATATGTCAAAAATTCGCATCCTGTCTAGTTTCTATACATATTTATGTTCAAACAAATCTATCTGTACTATCATATCCATCATTCTCAGTCAGCTTCTCTATGTTAATTTATCCATCCGCCAGTTCTATAACGGTTATATACATTACTTTATCAGTATAAATAATCGTAATAACATAAAAACAGAGGGAAGATGATAAAGCACAGACCAAGTAGAAAAAGAAATAGATGAAAATAAGAAGAAAAGGAGCAGAAGAAGAAGAAAGAAAAAGAACGAAAACAGTAACAGGAAAAGAGAGAGAGAAGATCGACGAGAAGAAAAGGAGAGGATGAGAAACACAGAACAGACGAGAAGCAGACAGAATCGACTGAATCGAAGAGAGAAGAGAGAAGAAGCGAGAAGAGGAGACGAGAGAGAAAGCGAGAGGAAGAATTCTCAGAGCCAACGTAACAATGAACAGCACCCAACACACTTATCTATCTATCTAATCAATCTATCTATACGGCAGGCAAACAGAAAAAGACAAAAAAACAGATAAATGCGAAAATAAAGAAAAACGAGAGAAAACAACAACAAACAACAGCAAAAAATGCTAAACCAACTTAAAAACAAAACAAAAAAACAAAAAAAAAATGTAAATCACCCCAAGGAATCACCGGTCACAAATAGCTCTTCTGTTTATCTATCAATCGATAGATAGATGCAAAACATTAAAAAAAAAAAAATCCCAAGAAACAAACTCAAAGACAGAAAAAAAAAAAATCAGAAATAATACCCCTCCCCTAAAAAAAAAAAAAAAAAAAAAAAAAAAA